ATGTGATTTTCCACATATGTCATAGACATCAGTTTAGAGCAGGGTCTTTAACCCTACCCCTGTATCTCTGCATGCTTGAATGTGGGTTTATGTATACATTTTAGAAACATCCAGTTGTGAGACAAACTGGCTTATTGACTTTTACTGGGAAAAAATCCTCCCTGTTTAATAACTTTTTGTCTACTTTGCATCATTTCAGTTGGGTCTGTCTTTACTGGCTGACTTCTCCCTCCCTCTTGTTTATCTTGCTGTGAGTCATTAAGGGACTGTTCCTTGTGAAACAAAAGGAAATACCAGCACTTTTTCATCCCTGCATTTTAACTCCCTGTTCTGTTATACATTTTGGGAGACACACATAAAGCAGGAGAGAGGTGACAAAGTAGAAATGGAAGAATGTGTTGCTATATGGTGCCTTACCTTAATTAGTGAATGGCTATTTCCCCAGCCGGAATATTTTACCTATGAGTAAATAGTTTTCCAATGTTGCAGTTATCTGAATATTATTTTGATGTACTCTTTCCAATACCCCTATGAGGTAGCTATTAGAAGTTATGATGGAGAACATTTAATTATATCATCTTCTTTTATGATAAGGATAGAAAACACAAAGAGGGAAACACAAAGAGGGAAAGGTCCATATCCTGCGTAAACTGGATTCTTAGGAACAATTTAGTCACCAAATGACAAAAAGCCTCATTATTTTATCTTTTATGTTACCCTGTGGACATAATACTGTAAAAATTCCCATTTTCACAAGTGGAGGTCTGTATCTCAGCAAACCCTGATGCAGTCCAATATCAAAATGGCTGAGAAATTATTTTTCTCTCAAAAGCCTGAGTGATCAGGAATATCTAATGACGTGTTCCTTCAGGTACAATGCACTGAAGGTATCTGATCCAGTATGTGTGCTCAAAGAATATCCTGCCCATGATTACTGTGTGCAAATCATACTTCGGTTATTGCATTCATTAACACAAGGAAATGGCTATAACAGAGCTCTTCTAGGCAAGGTTATGGAGCAGATCATCCTGAGTGCAATCACACAACACCTACAGGATGAACAAAGGATCGGACCCAGCCAGGATGGGTTTAGGAAGGGCAGATCCTGTTTGACCAACCTGATCTCCTTTTATGATCAGGTGACCCACCTGGTGGATGAGGGGAAGGCTGTGGATGTGTCTACCTGGACTTCAGCAAAGCCTTTGACACCATCTCCCAAAGCATTCTCCTGGAAAAGCTGGCAGCCCATGGCTTGGACAGGGGCACTCTGTGCTGGGTCAGGAAGTGGCTGGAGGGCCGGGCCCAGAGAGTGCTGGTGAACGGGGCTGCATCCAGCTGGCGGCCGGTCACCAGTGGTGTTCCCCAGGGATCAGTGCTGGGCCCAGTCCTGTTTAACATCTTTATCGATGATTTAGATGAGGGGATTGAGTCCATCATCAGCAAATTTGCAGATGACACCAAGTTGGGAGGGAGTGTCGACCTGCCGGAAGGCAGGAGGGCTCTGCAGAGGGATCTGGATAGACTGGAGAGATGGGCTGACTCCAATGGGATGAAGTTCAACAAGGCCAGGTGCCGGGTCCTGCACTTTGGCCACAACAACCCCCTGCAGCGCTACAGGCTGGGCACAGAGTGGCTGGAGAGCAGCCAGGCAGAAAGGGACCTGGGGGTGCTGATCAACAGGAGGCTGAACATGAGCCAGCAGAGTGCCCAGGTGGCCAAGAAGGCCAATGGCATCCTGGCCTGCATCAAGAACAGTGTGGCCAGCAGGAGCAGGGAAGTGATCCTTCCCCTGTACTCTGCGTTGGTGAGGCCACACCTTGAGTATTGTGTTCAGCTCTGGGCCCCTCAGTTCATGAAGGACATTGAGGTGCTGGAGCGGGTCCAGAGAAGAGCAACCAGGCTGGTGAAGGGACTTGAGCACAAGTCCTATGAGGAGAGGCTGAGGGAGCTGGGGTTGTTTAGCCTGGAGAAGAGGAGGCTCAGGGGTGACCTCATCACTCTCTACAGCTACCTGAGAGGAGGTTGTAGCCAGATGGGGGTTGGTCTTTTCTCCCAGGCAATCAGCAGCAGGACAAGAGGGCACAGTCTTAAGCTCTGCCAGGGGAGGTTTAGGTTGGATATTAGGAAGAAAGTTTTTACAGAGAGAGTAATCAGACAGTGCAATGCCCTGCCCAGAGAGGGGGTGGATTCACCGTCCCTGGAGGTTTTTAAGATGAGACTGGATGTGGCACTCAGTGCCATGGTCTGGTAACCATGGCAGGGTTGGATCAAGGGTTGGACTTGATGATCTCAGAGGTCTTTTCCAACCCAGTTGATTCTATGATTCATGATTCTATGATTCTAGTTAGGAATTTAAGAGTGTTTGCAGGGTCTCAGACTCAATTCTCACTTCTGCTGAGCAAGTTCAAACCCACACATCCTGCCACACATTCCAGCCTAAGCTGTAGCTTACTTGGTAGAGTATCTGCCTCTTGTCCTCCTACTAAGAGTCACAATTTTCAAAGAACTTGAGGACTGTCAGGACTCATTATTCCAGTGGTTAGGGAAGTGCTCTGAAATGTGGTGACGTGGTGGCCAGATCTTTCCCCAAGTTTAGTGCATATATGCTACTTGAAGGCTGTTTCATGTTTAATCATCACTGGTTTTAATCTGGTAGGACAAATCACCAATAATATTCCCAAAGACTGTGTTTTGTTGGTTTAAGATTACTGATGGTTTCTCAGTTTTTAGGAGTTAAAGTCACCCTCACATATGAAGCTTTTTCCCTTGACAGCATCACACCATGGTCATGCAGTGAGGCTGCTGGACAGCCTGTAATGCACCTATACTTTGTGGAGGGGGGAATTCTATAAGGAGAGTGAGGAAGAGAGGCGACATGGCAAAACTGGGATGAAGAATAAAGAAAGATCCAGTTAGGAATGAATGACAACAATATTTATACAAAATACTTGTCATGTATTCAGCAGAGGACCTAGTGTGGGGTCCCTTGGGAAAACAGGGGTATCACTTCGTAAATAGCCACAATGTAGTGTCAAATGAGATCATTCCGTACACAGACAAGCTGAACTCTGCAACTTCTACTTAAGTGCTTGCTTTGCAACCCAAACAGCTTTTATTTTAATGGTACTTAAGAATAAATAAAGACTAAAGGAGCAACAGTGTCCCACAGCCATTTCTCCTTCCAAGTGGCTTAACTTAAGGCACTTGAGCCTCTGCCTCATGTTCCCACAAGTTTCAGAAAGCATTCTGGCTTTGTTCTTTTAAAGAGGGTTATGAAAATGCAAACTAATAAGTCGCACCAAAGTTTAAAAGTAAGTAGCTTAGAAGACCAGTGTCAACATAAATGATATTAAAATGTATAGCCACGTAAACTACAGCTGCACTGGAGAGTGTGAGGAGATCTAAATAACATGAGCACAAGAGAAATCTTAAATAGGTGTAGATAGAAAATTCTCATCCATTCAAAATCACTGCCTCAGAGTCTAAGTTGTATAAGTACTATTTCATCTATTTTCAAATAAGACCGAATAGTAGATGACTGGGTCACTGTCATTCTCCAGAGCAAGAGAAAAACTGCTAGCTCATTTGAGAACGTATCTTTTCCTTCTGAGTGGCCGGATTTTTGGCATACCACAGCTGAGCCCTGCTTGGAGCCTTGTAAAAGTCACTTCTCCAAGCCTATCGGTAGCCAAAAGGAACACTGCAAACATTCCCACTGCCAAACATGCCAGTGAAATAACGGCTCCCCGAGGATTAACTTCTTCTCAGATAGAAAGAAAGTGAGCCTGTGTTACCACAGCATAATGGCCTTCATCTGTAACCTAGATCTGGGCTGGTTTCTTTCAAATGCCTTTTCACTGTGCTATCAGGAAAGCTGCGCAGTTTGCAGGGAACTTCACAGGATCAAATGGTGCCATTGGGAACCTCCTGTCCCTCCCCTGAGCCCTCTTGGAGAAAGCCTGAGAAAAATGAAAGGGTCTCAAATATCTTTCAGAGAGAGGTATGGGGCAGTACAGGAAGCAGGGAACAAGCACAGCTTCCTCATCAGGAAACAGTATGAGGATAAGCACCCCTGTGTGCTTTGATGCTCTGGTGTGTGGATCCAGGGGACAGGAGGTACAACACTCACTGCAGTTTCTGGTCACTCTGCCTTTGAGAGCAAGAGAGAAGGAGCCACTGTGGTGTGTCGCATGGCAGCCCAGAGTGCTGACCACTGCCTGCAAACATCCTTGTCTCCTCCTGTCTGGGGCTGGGTATAAAATAAAACCAGGGAAGGTCACCTTAAAGCTGCTGCCTTCCAGCTTGTTCTGCACCCAAGGGAACAAGGCATTTGCATCTCCCACTGGTATATAGGCCTTTCTGTCTAAAATACAATATAGCTTGCCCTGCTGAGCATTTTTCAGGTAAGCTTCCAACATGAAGGATGACACAGAGCCTGAGTCTGCAAATGCTTGTGTGCAAAAATATATTTTTCCTCCCATGAGACAGTCTGCTGGCAAATCACCAGTCATAGTGCTGGAGCAGGAAGGAATAAATCCCAGAACCCATCCACACTGAAAGCCAGTCAGTGTAATTGGGGTACAACTGCACTGACCTCTAAAGGGGGCAGTGTTAAAGTAATTTTGAGTCCTTAGAAAACATTACCCCATTTATCTCGAGAGCTGTGGAGTCCTGATCACTTAGACCACATTCTGACTCTTTGTGGGAGATTTATCAGATGTATAGTAGGAATCTGAAAGACTGTCTGGAACTGGCAAGGGTAGGTAAGTTGGAAAGGGGAAACTTAACCTAGATATCTAATGGTAAGTGCCTCAGTTCAGAAAAAGAATTCCTCCATAGTCGGAGAAATAAACTATTAGAGACCAACCCTTCCTTTGCTCATCTGAACTGTTTTTTTGAGGTACCTACATCTATTCCTTTACTCCACGGCATGCCCAAGCAGTCAGCGCTGGTTTTACAAATTCTACATCCAAGAAACATAATAAAATACAGCTCCTTACCTGCTCTGTGAGGAGCTCTCAGGTACGTGGTACATGAAGACGTTTCCTCGCGAGGCAGCAGCCCAGTAACTGGCCATGTTTATGATGGGACATGTGATAAATTGGTCACTGATAAAAAAGAAGGAGCAGGGAACAGACACAGTAATGTAATGGAAAAAAGGAAAGAACCCACACAACCAACAGACCATTCTCTATCTTGATAATTTTCTTTAAATTTTCCAAAACAGCTCGTATCTCTGCCTTCAAATCCCCTGAAGGATACCACATTTACCATCTATGAGTCCAGAATCACTTAGAATTCACTAAAATTGTTGTTTTATGGAGTGTTGAACAACAGTGATGACAGTAAATAAACCAGATCTGACACACAAGAACTATCCTGGCCAAAAAAACAATCTCATTTTATTCTAGTTTATGGGGGCCTTTGCTTATAATAGCATAAAGCTCCTTCTGGCACCACTAAGTTGCAATGACATCTAATAAAAGTTTTTATATATTTCCTGGATTAAGAGCCAATAATATAATTTCTGATTTTGGATCTGTGAGATTTCTTTGGGTAGAGTTTCTACTGCTGGAAGAGGCAAGAGACCACTTTGGAAGATAACCTGCAGGGCTCATCAATAGGGAATATCTGGTACAATATGTCTGGGAGAGAAAGGCTGACCAATAAGAGTGTAATAAGATAGTTTAATGATCAGTTTAACACCAGGTGTTGTAATGCAAAAGGTAGAAGTGAAGCAAATGTATCCAAACCTTCCTATTTTCCACAACCCCAAGTAATGGGGATGGAAGGTGGGGTGAGCAGTAGTTGGAAGAAGCACAAGCTGTTCAAGGGCTGCAGGTAGAAAACAGGACATCTTACTGCAATAACACCTTACTTGTTATGATTCCTCAAGGTAATATTATATACACACACATCACCACTCCCACTCTTCATGTGCCCAAAGACTCAGCACATGCTTTGGGCGTTTATATACCCTTACCTACATGAGTGCACACAAACATATCTGCTGAGGAAGTGGGAGGTTTCAATTCTCAGTTTAGTGAATCTGAAACAGCAGCTTCTCCTTCAGACTTGGTAGGTAAAAAAAAAATAAAAATGACTGGTGCAAGAAAGAACAGCGTCAGAGAAGCATGAAAACACATAGCTATATTTAACTGGTATGGTTATGAAAGGCACTGTTTGGGTATCTATCTTGGTTCAGCAGAGTTTATTTTAAGCCCGTCTGTGTGACCACAAGCTATGGGCTGGCTGACCACAGCGTTCTTTGACAGTTATGGTTGACAACACCCATACAAAATGAAAATTACCGCTCTTCACATGCCTACCAGCATGGGGTTTTAGAGGAGCAGATGGCCTTTGAAAACTAGGGAGTCTGGGGACAGCATTAGCTCTCGAGAAATGCTTTCAAATACATTTCACCATTTAAAACTGATCCTCAGTTGGTGCTACGGGGGAAAAAATAGGCAGCTATTCTGGAGAAGTGAAAAAAACCTTAAATACATAGTAACCACAAAAACGCGAAGGTTGTTTCTTACAGGCATGGAATACCAGAGTTAAAAAAAAAATATGAAAGAGAAAGAAAATGGAACTAATTTTATATTTGGGGAAAAAATACAAGAATTCAGTGGAAATATTTTAAACTGACAAAATATGCACAATGAGTGTAGTTTATAACAACCACTTATGTTGCTCTATCACACTTTGTAATTCCTGTTAAAACTTTAGCAGTTAATTATAACTTCCTGGCATAGAACTTTTCTTAGCTTACACATCTATGCTGGTAGTAAGATTTTTGTTAAAAAGAAACAAAACTAAGAGGAAAAATCCAAAAACCAAACCAACCAACCAAACATCAAAAAACCTCAACCAATTCCCTCTTTCTTCACCATGAATGTGATGCTGATGTAGGTGACTGTCATTCTGCACCTGCTGTCTCCCTTCCCCTTCTGCTGTAGCTGGAGTACATTCCAAAGTGTTTCAAGCAAAGATTATCATCAGATATCCTGCTCTCACTACTCATCCTTCTTTTTGCTCAAAAATAAGCCACTCACTTCTTTCTTTAGCCAAGGCATTTGCCTTATATCATAAAGGAGTAGGAATCCCTATGCCCAGGAGGCTGCCACAGGCACTCGCAAGTAACTGTTGGTGTATCACATTCCTGCTGGAAGAGCTCTGTGCCAGCTCTTGCAGCTTTGCAAAAGGCAATGTTTGCACCATGCTGAGCCCTGGGCTATATGTGGATGATCAAATGTGACAGCCCTGTGTTATAACAGCTCCTCACAGAGGTATGAGGGGAGGCCTCATCCCAGTCTACAATTTCCTTGTGAGAGGAAGAGGAGGGGCAGACACTGATCTCTTCTTTGTGGTTACCACTCACAGAACCCAAGGGAATGGCCTGAAGTTGTGTCAGGGGAGGTTTAGGTTAAACATTAGAAAAAAGTTATTCACCCAGAGGATGGTTGGGCACTGGAACAGGCTCCCCAGAGAACTGGTCACAGCACCAAGCCTGACACAGTTCAAGAAGCATTTGGGCAATACTCTCAGCCACATGGTGTAACTCTTGGTGATGGTCCTGTGCAGGGCCAGGAGTTGGACAGTTGATTCCTGTGTCTCTTCCAACTCAGCATATTTGTGATTCTAAATCTCTAGATGAGAAGAAGGGTTAAAATTTATGTCCATCAGTGGTTTATTATGGCTTAAAACCTTACTGATCTGACTAAGGAATTTCAGTTTCATGGCTAACAGTGATGATGGAAGGAGACTGAAGACGAATTCTGGCTTTCATGCCCATGAACCATAGTGCTGCCACATGTACTGCAGGCAGTGGCTCCAGATGTCACAGTGATGGGTGGCCTGTCCCTGGGACAGACTACAAGGGGGACAAATGTGTCACGGTGCAAGAGTTGACAAACGGCACAAAGCTCAGCCCACAGCCTTCTGGCTTGTTTACTCCATGACCTCAATGCACTGGCACACCTGGACCACCCAAAAAGTACTGTCCACTTTCTTGGTGCAGATGTTTCCAAGCAAATCTTGGCTCCTGTTCATCTCCTGCTCCCTAAGGCTGCCCTGGAGCAATGCTCTGCAGCTCTGATGGAGGAATAAAAGGAAAACCCTGTATCTGAGGTGTTGTGGAGAGGGTCACAGTGGGACAGAAAACTTAGCACTGAGAGTGCAAATACTGGGAGCTTGTAGCTGTGATGTCTCAGTTAAGAATAGAGATGAAGCATCTTGGACAGGCACATTGGGAGTCAAGCCACCAGTTTATAAACCACATCACATTAGAAATGTAAAGAGTTTTTACAATGCATCTGCTCATGAAGCAGAAACATGAATAGGAAAGGAGTTTTCTGATTCATTTTTGGAAAATCCGTTCCACTTAAACATTCAGTCCTTGAGTTTGCACAGAGGCAGAAAACAGGAGGTAAGGAAATTTCTCCTCAGTTTGCCTTATTTCAGAAAAACTGAAACACTCCCCACCCCTCAGTTTAAGATCTGGAACTGGCTAAAGCAAACTGGCTAAAGCTCCCATGGCGGGAGACAGCAAACTCCAGTCCTCTCTGCAGACCAAACCAGCATGTGGCCCAAGCTAAAGACATCCACCAGGCTCTGTGGCCAGCCACAGGAGTCATGACTGCTGTGGAGTCCTAGTTCAACTGGGCAATGAACTCTTCCAACCATCATCCAGAACTGCTGGACTCTGATACCATACCCAGTTAGGGCTGAATGCATACATTCAAGGTGGTATGAAGGTGGTCCAGTGCTCATCTTCCAACTCCCAATGGTCCATAAAATGTTTCAATGCAAAGTATAGGAGTGTATATACTGGAAGAAAGTTGCTTGTGGCTCTGCTGACACACATGAGGTGCTGGAGTGTGTCCAGAGAAGGGCAACGGAGATGGTGAAGGGTCTGGAGCACAAGTCTGAAGAGAAGCAGCCAAGGGAGCTGTGGGTGCTTATACTGGAGAAAAAGAGGCTCAGGAGGAACTTTATTGCTCTCTACAATTGCCTGAAAGGAGGCTGTAGTAAGGTGAGGGTTGGTTTCTTCTCCCAAGTAACATTCAAGAGGAAATGGCATCAGGTTGTGCCTGACATCGTGAAGAAATATATTTTGCAGGTTTCATAATAAAAAAAAGAAAGTAACTGCTGAAATCAGTTTTCAAACTTGACGACTGAGGAAAAGCATCTAACTGTATAATTAGGTGATTGTTTGGGAATAAAATGAAGTCTATTAGTTCTTCTACTGTCACAGGGATGAGAGGACTCAAGAAATAGCTGATGCAGAGTATGCAAACAACCCAGACATCTCTGACATGAAAGAGTACACAAATAAGCATTAGTAGTCTGAATCCAATATACAGTTCTGGAAAGACATCAAACTTTTAACAAGGCACAAAAATCAGTTCTATTTCTGTTTACCAATGACATTGGAAACCTCACAGAAAATGAAATCATATTGCCCATTTTTGTTCATTTGCATAAGAATTTCTCAAGTTTTTCAGAATATAAATGCACCCTTGAGATAAGCAAAACAAACCTTGTTCAACCCCAATCACACAGTTGTAATAGGATGACTTTCTTACCGGGTGGCATTTTCCAAAGCCCTGGAAAAGGACGAATAATCATCAGTTGAGTGTTCGAGGGAGTAATACCATGTTGCTGCATCTTCAATGAACGAGTTGGACTCTTCTCCTCCTAGAGAATTTTGCAGAGCCTGATAAAAGGCTGTTTTGCTGTTGGCTCTTCCTTGACTTTCTTCAAATTTCTGAGAACAAAATGCATACACGGAATTTAAAAACAAAAACCAAAATATTCATTTTTTGGTGGAACAGTATAGGCTCAGATCTCCCTCTGCTGGAACAAGTCCTCTCTGCTGTGATCCCTGATTCCTAGGGGATTAAGTAGTGGACAGACCTACTTTTGTTTTCCCAAAACTGTCACCAACCAGAAGCACTGGTTTCTTCTAAATATATTATAGGACAGAAATCTTGATCTAATAATTCCAGATCATAGGTACCATGCTGTGCAGATGGAGCTCTAATACTACAGAAATCCTGCTGTCTCTCACAGGAGTAGTTCCCATTGGACACTGTGTGTCCAATGCTGTCGTTCTGATTAACTCCCTGAGAGAAAACTAGAGGGGAGAGAGGGAGATTTTGCTATTTCCCTTTGAAAGTCCCAGAAAGCAAACATGTTGTATAGCCATTTCATGGCTATATCAATCTGTCTCTTCTGGGAACATCTACAGAGAAATGTGGCTGCTGTAAGTTCTGTATTTAGGTCCCTTTCTGGAATAATATCTGCCTTAGCCCTGGAAGAGAAATTCCATTCCTCCAAATCCCTGTGCAAGGAATAGCCGTGATCTTCAAGCTTCATAACTGCTAGGGCCTTTCAGAGAAACCAACAGTAAAACACCCTTTTCCTGTGGTTTGAAACCTTTCCTAACACGAAGGCCCATTCCCCAAAGCAAAGTGCCCAAGACACAGGGACAATCTTCTGTGCCAAACTGCATACCCAAACACATTTCTATCAAAGCTAAAGACTGTTGGAATTTTTCAAGACATCTTTCTTTGAGCAAGTTCTTTATTTTGTCAATTCAGTTTTTCTAACTTTTTTTCTAAAGAATTTATTTCAAGTTCAGAAATAGAGCAACTTCCTTGAACCTTCCTATTCATCAAGTCCTTTCTAAAGAGGGCACCATGTAAGTGCATACTGGCTGAAACTTGGATAAGAACTCCTGAGAAAAAGATCTAATAAACCAGCTCTATTATTTTGGGCAGTCAGTCTGATGCAAAATAGGCCAGTGTCTGCCCAGTCCGGTTAGTGTTGATGCTTTACTGAAAATATTATTTTGATGGCCCACAGCTGGTTTTCATCATGCTTCTAGAAGGTCTTTCCACAACCCTATGCAGTAAGTACAAATGGAATAATTACTTTTCAATAGATGCACAGAAATCAAAGATGGAAAATAAGTTCCCGATGGGCTGAGGCCGAGGTCTGTCCTTAGTGACATATTCTAATGCTCTGTGCATTTTGATTAAGTCATTTTAAGGGATTTCAAAACGCTACCAAATATCCCAAGGTCCAAGAAGGTCTTGGAAATTTTCCTTGTACTTGTAAAAAAATTCTTCTTTTTCTAGATTTTGGCCTACGCATTGTGAAAGAGTCATGTGGTGCCAGTTTCAGTAATACAGCTGCACTTTGAAAAAGATGGGCAACTCACTCATGACACGTCACTTCATGTGCATAAATGCCACATAAGAAACTGCATAGCACACTTGCCTGCAGAATCGTTCAGCTTAAATACAGCAGGGACACGTATATTCTTCTGCGAGGAACAGAAATGATCGCTGAAGGCCTGACTGCAAGTTCACTGACTTCAAAAGCAATCTTTCCATCACAGCTTTGGCACACATCAACTCAGACTCCTACCAACCAGCAGAAGCAGTGCTTTGTCTAGATAGGGATCTCTCATTTGGTCACTGGGGTTAGCAGTCATGGGTAAGAACAGATGCTTTTCCATGGCAGTGCAAAGCCCAAGCTGTTTTGTATAAATCATCCAGGTACAAGCAACTTTCATGCAATCCTTTCATTTTATTAGCTTTTTAAAATGGATTTGTTACCTTATTCTACACCTGTCATGGACAATTAAACCAGAAATAAATAAAGAGAAAAATCTTAGGGTACTGATTATGTATCCTAGGAACTGTTCCTTCGCTGTGTCATTGATGGTTATCAAATACAGAAAGACCAATTCAGGCCAGGAAGTCTCTGAGATGCAAATTGCTAGAGGTTTTCAGAGCATTTAGCAGAAGTATCATATTTGCTTACCCTATTTTTACAAACAGCCCATTTTAACCACTGCTGAAAACAGCTTTTGTGCTAAATGGGCCTTTGATCTGACTCAGCGCGGACAGCCTTAGGTATTTGATGTCAGAGGTCAAGCAGACAAGACAGAGGGCTGGCTTGGCTTAACAGGAATCTTATCTTGGAAATAAGGCAAAAAAGGAAGGTGTATGCCCAAGGTCAGGTGATATGGGAAGAATACAGAGATGCTGTTTGCCACTGTAGAGAGAAAATTTGTGTGGCCAAAGCTCAACTGGAGATGAAGCTGGCCATGAATGTGGGGGATAATAAAAAGAGGTTTTTTTCGAACATATTAATAGCAAAAAGCAGTGTAGAATAAACAGCAGCCCCTTACAGCATGAGGATGGTCACCTCAAACAGGGACATAGAGAAGGCAAAGGTGTTTAATACATACTTTTGCCTCTATCTTCAACATAGATGATGAATCAAGGGGGTCTCAGTGTGGTGAGCTGGAGGACCATGACTGCGGGAATGGTCAAATCCCAGTCTACCCTGAAATTGTGCGGGATCTGTTGCTCCAGCTGGATCCCAACAAATCTATGGGACCTGATGGGATTTCATCTAAGAGCTACTGATGTCATTGCAAAGCCTCTCTCAATTACTTTCAAGCTGTCTTGGGAATCTGGAGAGGTACCAGCTGACTGGAAGGTGGCAAATGTCCTGATTTTCAAGAGGGGCAAGATGGAGGACCCTGGAAACTACAGGCCTGTCAGTCTCACCAATGCCTGGTAAAATCACGGAAAAGATTATTCTGAGAGGTATTGAGAAACACCTGGAGGACAATGCAGTCACTGGTCACAGCCAGCATGGTTTCATGAGGGGAAGGTCAAACCAGATGCCCTTCTATGACAAGGTAACCCACCTAGCTGATCAAGGCAAGCCAGCTGATGTAATCTTTTTTTGGATTTCAGTAAAGCTTTCAATACTGCCTCTCACAGGATCCCTCTGGAAAAAATGTCCAGCACGCAGCTGGATAACCCAGTTAAACAAGGAGTGAGCAACTGGCTCACAGGTCACTCACAAAGAGTTACAGTGAATGGGGTAACATCAGACTGACGACCTGTTCACTAGTGGGGTTCCGCAGGAATCCACCTCAGGCCCTGTTCTCTTCAACATCTTCATTAACTCCTTGGACACAGGACTCAAAGGCACACTAAATTTGCCAACAACACTAAATTGGGAGGAGCTGTCAACTCTCTCCAGGGCAGAGAGGCCCTGCAGAGTGACCTTGACAAATTAAAGAGATGGGCAATCACCAACTGTGTGAAGTTTAACAAGGGCAAGTGCTGGACTCTATAACTTCTCAGCTGATTCAATTTGACCAATTTTCCATGTCCAATTTTCCATTAGAAAGTATATGACCAAGGAACAATCTTCAAATCACAGTAGGTACAACAGCTACTACCAGATTAATAGAAACAGCTGCACATCATGTAAAATAATTTACATTCTGCTAACTTTTAAAGAGGCATTAGCAACTGACCTCAGAGTTATAGTGGGGTTTTCAAATTTTTTTTAGAAAGCATGTAAGAAAATCACTAAAGTCAGCAGGTGCACTCCTTTCTACTTTTCTGGTGATGAAAAGCCATCATAAACATTGCTTAAATATTGAGTTAAATAATGCTTATTGTTCTTGTTACTGCAGGATACCTTCTGGAGCATATGAATGAATCTGGTCCAGTGTTTTATTTAAAAAGAAATTGTAGTAGTAGGCAGACCAAACATTTATATCTTCCAAGGGGCGAAATGTACTGTTCTGACAAAGTGGAATAGTGATAACACTAACAGAGATCTTAGGCCTTAAATGGCTTTTCAAAAACTGTCACAAAGGATGCTAAAAGACCTGCCAGCCATTCAGCAGAGTCTTTCAAGAACTCCAGCTCATTGCAAGACAAAGTAAAGAACTGATATCAGCCCATTCTCCACACTGACGCAATTTATCAGGACACTGCTCCCCTGGTCACTACAACAAATATACACATATCTGCCACCTGTTGTACACTGATGAATTCCTTTTTCCATAAAGAAATTCACTGACTGTAATACAGTGCAGGATGGAAGTTTTGGTCTGCATTAGTCCAGTTGCTTACATGAAGTAAACAAACTAGATTTATATCTATCCACTCCCATATGTCCTAGGTTTGGGGTTTGCATCCAACTAGATTGTACTAAGGAGGGAAAGAGAAAGAAGGAAAATGCAAAAAGTACAGCCTTAGTCTTTCAACTAAATCCTTGCAGTGTGGAGATTACACAGTAGCCACTGAACATATGGAGGATGTAGACTGGATTATACCGACCTACAGGCTTAGACAGACAAACACAGACATAGAGCCACATGAGTGAATCCATATATATAATGCCATTAGGTCCTCCCAACTGAGCATCATATATAGCACAGGGACAAAATTTTGTCAACTGGGAATTGAAATCTACATTTTTAGAGGTTTCTGCTCAGCTGCCCTAATCTATGACTGCTCAAAGCTAATATTCCCTGAAGGTCCACCATGGGAATTGCAGTGAATGGGTTCAGGTTTAACTACTTCATGTGCCACATAATAGTGCATTATGGTACCACTTGTCAGTCCCTTAACAAACTCTGCTTTGTTTCTCACTTAGTTTCAACCATCTGACGGCTGCACTGGGGATGAGTAGGAAGTGCTCCAGGAAGTGGTGAATCTGTCTCAGTTCACATGAATAAGCATTTCAGTGAATGCCATAAAATGGACATTTCCACGGGCAAGATATTAAGCACACCCTACTCCCTGCTGCATCACTGGAGGACCTCAGCATTTAACTATAGGCAATAGAACAGAAATGTTTTGCCAGCATTCAAGTGATGCCTTCTGTCTATTTCATTTTTAATAGCGAAGACCTTAATAGGCATAAGCACAGTGTTGCAGTGGGAGTACAGAGGCACCCAGCACAACCAAATGTCAGCAAGCCCCCAGAGAACAACATGGTGCCAACTGGATTTACCACTTTAAGGTCTGGTTGCAGCATAGAGGTTTTACTCTCACTCCTGTGACACATCTGTTTATAAAACCTGCATGCAACTCCAGTCTAAAGTGATAAGATTTGCATCACATCTCAAGCTTGCTTATATCCAAAATGGCTAAAAGTATCTCCTCACCACTTAACAGGATCAGTATTCATAGAGATCAGGTTTAATACAGCGAGCCCTTGACTGAACTAGCCAACACAGTTATTCCCAGGAGCTAGTAGAGCAAGTCAACAAGGGTTAGGTTTTTCTAACCCACACTCTTTGCATTAACTACACTGAAATCAGTCATCCTACAGAAGATGAAAATGAAGGACTTTGTCAATTCCATACACATGCAACATCACCTTTTAGCTGTGTTTATCTACATAAATACATGTGGCATTATTCACCTACAAATACATGCATGGTTCTTCTCTCTACAGAGCTGGAATATAAACACAGATGGATTTTCATTCCAGGGAGGTTTGGTCACCTCTTTGTAGAACAGATTAAATTCTCTGGTTGTAATCAGAGGCAAACTAGGAACTTGGTTCCCGAAGCTGAGTTCAGTGCTCTGTCCACCAGCTAATCCTTCCCGCACTCCTCAGTGTAACAGTAAAACCAGCTTTGGGTTTTGTTAGAAAGATGCAAGACAGATCTACCTCAAGAGAACCCTTAAAATTAATAAAATAGAAGAGTGGGATACAGTGTGGATTGTCTCAAACCCTTCTTCGAGGTCTATTGTGGGGAGAGGACATTTAGCACAGGTTAATGATTCCTTATGACATTATGACAGAGGAAATGGGGCACAAACTTCCAGGTAGAAACCACCATCTGGACTAGTTTCTGTCACGGTGGCTAAATCTGTGGCTTACTCAGGACTTCATCTGACTGACTGCAGCCATACATGGTCATGGCAGTGACACAGAAATTCTTCTGAGAACCTGGAGAATGCTTGTTGTTAAATAGCTTAATGAGCATTGCAGTTTCCCAGCAATTAATATGCTAACTGTCAACAAGGGAGAAATCAGGAAACTTTAACCTTGCAGCAAGTCTTTAGGAAAACAATCCAGACAGGAACACAGACTGGTCAAAACACTCATATTCCCTTAAGTCTTAAAAACCTGGAGCCATGGGAAAACAGAAATTGAGGAAAATGTGCATTTAAAAAATCATCATTTCTACCAAGGCTGTGAATAAATCTTAAGAAAGTCTAAAGGAAGAAAATGGAATAGAACTACTTAGCATTATGAGTTTTCTGGAACACAGATGGCATTTGACTTAAAGCATTAGGACAAAGTAAGGTAGCTATTACCATAATAGGTAATAAAGAAGTTAATTATCCTTCAGAGAAAGGATAGTTAAACCTTAACCGTTAATAAGAAACTTGGGGACAAACTTCATTGCAGCCTGTTGCAATGGGACATGGGATAATGGTTTTAGACTAGAAGTGAGTAGATTAGTAGATAGAATATCAGAAAGAAGCTTATTACAATGAGGGTGGTGAAACACTGGCTCAGATTGCCCAGAAGGGCGGTAGATGCACCATCCCTGGAAACATTCAAGATCAGATTGGACAGGGCTCTGAGCCACCTGTCTCACTGCAGGAGAAACTGGACTAGATGAGCTTTAAAGGTCCCTTTCAACCCAAACTATTCCATGATTCAACGATAAACCTTGACAAAGAAGATCAGAAGATCCCCAAACAGGTCTCAGGCTGACGTAGATATTACCCTTTCTTAGGGCTGAGTTGCACCAACTTTTTGAGTTCCCTTCCAATCTTATTTTCTGCAAGCCTTTAGATAAACAAGATATTTCAGATTTTCCTTTTGGAAAGGCAACATTTTTCAGCAAAGCTCTCAGTTACAAGTATTTTTTCTTTCCATTTCAACCTGACACTTCTGGGATTTAGCATTTTTTGCCTTTCATCAACACCATGATTTGTTGCATAGTTTTTAAAACATCACAGAATTTCATTTCAGTTTTCCAGACAACTGTCATGTGCCGAAACAGTGGTAAGGGAAAGAATTTCACTTCCTAGTCTTCATCACAGGACTTGTACTGAGGTTACTGAGGTTTCTTCCCCTCTCACAGTGTCTGGATCATTGTCTGCTGGCCTCCAGCATCACAGTACATCTTCTATGCCTTCCTCCTACGACTTCCTCTTTTAATTGATTTCAAAAGACAAAAATACATGAAATAAGAGCAGGAATCTTCTGATGGAGACAAAACAAGTGATATGAACTTAATTCAGATTAGTCAGAGGGGTACTTTTGCCATTAATTCTGAAGTAAATTGGTGTTATTGCCTACCAGCAAAGAGAAGCTGGGACTGAACTTTCATAGCCAAGACATGAAATCCACACAGTTACAGAAAGGTATCAACAGACCTGCAGCTCACTTAGAAAACTCTCAAAATAATCCCCGCTGTGCTAAATTCTCCCGTTGATTTCTTAGCATATATCTGAGCACTTGCTAACATTTAATTTAATTTGGCACTGTTAAACAGAGAAGAGGTATTGCTCCTGTCACAGAGAAGGACAAATGAACTAGAGAAGATTGATATACTGTCTCAGGAACAGACAGTGCCAGAGGGCTCACAAGAAGACATAAAATCTCTGTGGGTAGACCTTCAGGCTTTTGAGGACTTTTATGTCCAAAGTACTGCATGGATGCAATTCTTTTTCATTTCACCAGTTTATGTCCTGAAACCTCAGACTAGTGCTGTTCTTAGATATAGGTAATCCATATTCAGAATCATCTTTATGAGAAAATATACTTCTTAAAGGTAACAGAGAAAAAAGGTTACCAAAAAGAACCCATCCCAAAATTCTGACCTAATTCTGCTGCAAAGCAAAGAACTTCATAAGAAAGTTATTAGCTTGCTTTCTGCTTTGTGAGATACTACTGAGATTGAAATTCAAATAGGATTTTGGAGACAGTGAAACATAAATGCTAAATCCCTGGTGATCTCCTACCTTTTCATATCTCCCCCAGAAATGTTAATCAACAAATATGATAATGAACAGGTCTGGCTGGAGATGGACAATGCCTTTGTGTATTTCCATGTCTTATAATTCAAAACTTGTAGAAATAAAAAAAAACATCTGTCCTGGCTGCATATGATTACTGTCATCACTATATTCATTGTAATACCATCAGTTCACTAACACTGAGTGTCCTCCTACCTTAATTGCCTTAGCTCTGCTGATGAGCCCATCTTGCTGAGCACTTCCAATGAGCAGATCTACCTTCCGAAGCTGAGGGCGCCGCAGGGCTTTGGCTAAAGGTTCCCGCAGGTAAATTCCATCCACCACTGGCCCCCAGTACTGGAATGGGCCACTTATAGCTAGCAGCTAGATTAGTTAAAAAAAAAAAAAAACAAAAACAAAAAAAACAAAACCAGGAATTTTGCAGTTTAATTAGCTTACCCTTTCATTTCCCTTTTATTTATGCTTACGACAAGTGATCTGATACCTTTCAAGGCAACAAGTGATCAGTTAATATAAGTGTAAGCTCACTGTTGGCAAGAAACAATGGTTTTGCTGAAGGTCTCAGTAAGTGAAACAGGTGAAGAGACCAAAAGAATTGATGGTTTTATGGACATAAAAATATTGTTTTAAATAAGGGATTTGCTTCATGCTGATCCTGATAAGAAAATTTATTGCCAGTGGGTGTTTTAATTTGTGGGTAAAAGATCCATCTCTAGAATTGTTTTTACTGCAGCTCTCACAAGTCTCCCACTTCAGATACAAAACACTGGCATCCCTCCCCCCTTCCTTTTCTGCATCCATTCAGTTATTGAAGCTACAGACACTTCACTCTCCTCTAGAGTAAAACCAAGGGGCAGATAAAAGGGAACTGAAAGAAGGCAGAAACTATATTTAGATTTATTTAGGAGACATAGTCAAAGCAGTGTAAAAGGAATTTAGTTTAAAGGAGAATCACAGCTCAGAGCTGGATGTCATGGACATCAACTTCCCCCCACCAAAACTGGTCCAGTTCCTCATTCACAAGGATTGAGACTAATTTATTTTTTTAAGCTTTCTCACAGCTTTGTGTCAATGGAAACTTTTTGGTTTCCTGCCAGTGGCATATATTTTGCTATGTTGTACCTTAGTCTGTGCATCATTGAGGACACGAGCAGGCAACTGGCGGAGGCAGGCTACAATTTCCTCACTGGTGGATGAAGGGCATCCCACATCTTCAGCCAGGACTGCTGCTTGGGTCTGTGCTCTGCTTGTAGTAATAATGGATGCTGGAGAAAAAGCTGAACCTCCCTGGAAAAAAAAACAAAACAAAACAAAACACAATATCAGTCAAAACATCTGGTTCCCTGGTGCAGGTAAAAAAGATGAGAAGAAAAATCTGTCCAGCTGTAGAATATAAACTACTGGCATTTAAATCAGTTGAAGCAAGTTCTAATGATCAAAGCAAAGAGATGTAGGGTCGGTTGGGCTGTTTGCAGATCTGCCACAGTTATTTTGGAAGAGCTCCAAAAAGTGTCTATACTATGTCTCTAACCAGATCACAAACCTTTCAGAAAATGTTGCAGGAAGGAGAAATATTGAGACAGAAGCAGATACAAAGAAGGTGCTGTGAGGCACATGAGGAGATGAGGACCCCATCTTATGAGTGGAGTTTAAATAGAGTTTTACTATAACTGTGATAAAACAAGGACTGAGAGCAGGTGGGATGTCCCCAAAGAAGAGCTATTTATACCTTGTGACAATGCTGGTACAAGGACAAATGGGCAATAAGTATTCATATTGAGTGTAAATTAAATTCAGCTAGAAACCCTAAGACAGCTAACTCAAGGAGCAGTGAGGGTTTGGAAGAGCTATGAACTCAGGTAGTAGGAAACAAACTACAAAAGAACAACCAGAGTACCAAGACCAAAATTAAAGCACAGGCTACAGTCCAATCTCTATCCCAGACTCTTCATTTCTTTGCTACATCTGTGCCAACATATAAGATGTCCTTACCAAGAAAAGATGGTACAACATTTTTTAAGTAGGCGTGAAAACTTCTTAATGAAAACGCAGATTAATTAGCATAAATCTGATAAGATCTGACCCAGAACAGAAAGGTTGGAATAGCTCTGACATGCTTCAAATGACTAATTTCCATTTACATCAGTTTACTATAATAACTGCTAAGATTAGCTTCTGTCCTCTAAAAAATCCCACACCCTAGATGCATGATATGAAAGACCCTGATCTATTCTACTGATTGACTTATTTCTTCCTGAATTTGCTCGAAGCATAACTACAAGTCTGCAAAAGCAAGTTAAAAAGAAACAGAAAACAAACAGCAAAGCCTCAATTTGAAACTGTCTCAGAACTCTGAGCCCTGAGAACTCTGTGCAGCTCTGGCCAGAACACAGGACATTTTTTATATTTCAAACAAGCAGAGCCATTGTTACTGACAGGATACCATTGCTCACAACTGGGGAAATTGGTTTCCAAAAATAATTAGAAAGAGGTTACTGTTTGGGTGTAGAGACAGTCTTTTTAGTTCACTGCATGTAGAATTTCCAGTGTTATTACCTTCTTGAAAGCTTTCTCCTCTTTTTTAAGGGATCTGGAAAATAAGTACTGTTATTAGCTTAATGGCTGAGAAGCGGATGGTTGCAAATAACCAAAGGAAAAACCTAATTTTCAATCCTGGGCCACTGGAAGAACCATCTCCAGTTTCAAGAGGGTGGAAGAACTAAAGAAGAAAAAATAAACACCGCTTAGTCGTCTTCTTCTGCACTCAATTTAGATGAGAACTCGAGTGAGCCATGGGCTTTACCCTCACGTGGGATTTGCGGTGGCCTATTTTGTATTTGTAAGGCATGATATTTGCCAGCTGCTGACTAGGTGCACTGACTCAGTTGGGCACGAGAGAGAAAGAAAAATATCCTTGGTGAGAGTATCCATCTCATGTGTGGGTGGGTCTCCAGCACGCAGAGTGAGAATTCACCTGGCCCTCAGAAGAGGATGTTCACCACAGCTAGGATGAGTGAGACTAGAAAAGGGACAGCACAGCATGCCAGCTTCCCTCAGAAGAGTAGATACCTTGCATTTCATTTGGAGTAAGGAATTATGTACCTCCTTGGTATAGCAGAAAAATCAAATCTAGGATTGAACAATTTATCCACTAATATGGCAAACTTATTCTTCCCCATCGGATCTGAACATGCTCAGCATGCTTTATCAAGGATCCAGTACTTCCATATGGCATTCATTTAAAACAAAACAAAGCCAAACCATCAAAAATTAAAGTTCTTCAGTTTCCCAAACTCCGAGAGCTTCCCAAATTTTGAAAGTAGAAGTTCCTGTGGAAATTCTGAAGCTGCCTTATTAAAAGGCCAACTTTGGTAGGGAAACAGAGTACTGAGATCAGATGACATCCAGAATCCAGAAATTCACTGGGACCAAGCAAAAAATCATGGTGTGTGCTTGATTTTGAACACAACTCCTCCCAGAGATTTTAAAAGCTATGCGAAGTCTCTCTGTCTCTGAGATACCTACAACCTAAAAGACTGTCCTTAGGTCACGTACTGAGTCAAACGACAACTGCAAAAAACTTCTGGATGGACATGACCCACAAGTTCTCTACTGCAGGGGTAAAACTAAAGGTCTGGAGAAGCAAATCTTCATGTCCCAGCACCAGATGTGTATAGGCTAACAATAGATATGATCAAAGCTCGACGACTAAAAGGAAAATCCGAAACTTCTACAGATACATTTGTGAGGTAAGTAGAGCTCTTGTTTGGAGCCTTACTCTGGCTGTGGATATTTTCTCTTCTTTCCATGAGTGGTTAGAAGAGGTTTATGTGGTCTTTATTCTGTTTTTTTCTTCCATTTTCCATGGTAATGGTCACTTCCCCATTTTGTTTTTTTTGATAATATCCATATTCAGGGAGCAAGTCTTGCATTTGGGGTTTGAAAAAGATGTGCTATCTACTACTTCTAATCATGTTTAATTTTTACTAGGACTGGAAGCAGGTGATAGAGAAACTTAGGACATCATTCAAGAAGTATTTGAAAGAAACACCACTATGTTCCCTTCCCAGGTGCATCTAAAATATGTTCCAGGCTTTGAAAACATGGCTCCTCTTACTGCAGAAGTTAGGTAAGCAAAACTGTACCAGTTCTCCGTTTTTCAAATTCACATAAAAATTTAAGTTCATTGTTTCCTCATCCTTGCCAAAAAAAAATCTCCTCAGGAACAAATAAGTGAGAAATGAAGCTGTGACTGTCCTGGATTAATTTTCTTTCTTTTTGAGCCTGAAGTTTTTATATTAAACAGAAATCTCCCCTAAACACTGTAGCCAGAGGCTCAGGACACAAAGGATAACACAGCTACTCTCAGCATTTCCCTCTTTCCCTATAAAACTATAATTTATTTGTGTGATTAGTCCCAGCAACCAGTAATGAAGGACTTGTGTGTTTTAAAAAATAGAACTATTTAGACAGAAGCAGAAATAGTGGAGGGCCTGTTTATTTCCATTACATGCACCCATATTACCATCAGCATGACAGAATCATGAATCAGAAAACCAAAAATCATGAGATCAGCTCAGAAATAACAAACACTGTGTTCTTTTTGTTAGTCCTCTGGTTTTTAATTCTCCAGGAATTCTCCTTTACCTATCAACACAAGAGCTAAAAAGTTCCCTTTTAAAATTAACAGCTGAAATCTTCAGGTATTCCTGCAGAGTTGGTTTTTGAAAGCAAACCTCTAAAAAAATATGACATATACAATAGAATTGTAAACATTAGCCACCATGTCATCACTGTGTACTTCCTATCTCAGCATCATTTAGAAGGCTTTTACAGGGAGCCAAAGCCACACACAGTTCTCGTTTTAGCTGTCCTTACAGATGGACCCACTGTCAACAGAGAAAGTGCCGATGACATTTTTGACAACGACCCAGACGAAAGCATTCAGTACTGAACTGCTAAGAGAAAGCACAGTCCACAACAGCAATGCTACACTGCTCTCTGAAATTCATAGGAATAGCAGGAACATCACAATGTTGGGCAGTAGCATCTGCTGCAACTACTGATGGCACTGAAAAAGGGAGGCAAAACCTTCAGTACTATTTAGTTCAGGGACCAGGGGCATTGCCAGCATTTCCTCGTTTCTCTTTTCAAAATTAGAGATTCAGCTGGACAGTAGAAATTCAGATACTAGGAAAAGTTGTGGCTCACAATGGTGAGAAGGTGATGAACACAAACTGGTGTTACATGATGATGAATTCTCACTTTGATGTGAGGCTGAGCTGGGGCTGGTGCCTCTTTAAAAAACTTTTGTTTTGGGACATCATAGCTCAACAGACCTACTGTGTTGCCATCCTGGCCATTCCAATTCTTCCTCCACAAGCCCTTGCTGCTATTCTGATGAGATAATAAAAAAGGATATACAGACCTGTATTTGGGTTGTGTGGCCAGGTTTTGGTAGTGGGAGGCTACACACAGCAGCTGCAGTGCAGAAGAGTGAGAGCGGCAGATCCCAGAGGGTCGTAATCATGCTTTACTTCTCATTATCCAGTTCTGATTTAATTTGTAATAAATTCAACTAATTAAACTAAATTAAACTATTTTCTCTGTTTTGTCTGTGATGGTAACTTGTGAGCAATCTCTCCCTGTCCTTTCCTTGACCCACAAGCCTTTCACTATATTTTCTCTGCCCTGTCCAGCTGAGGAGGGCAGTGACAGAGCAGCTTTGGTGGGTGCCTGGCGTCCAGCCAGAGTCAATCCTCCACAGGACTATCACTGTCATCTGCCCCCTCTGTATCCCAACATACAGCTGCAGTGGTGAATGTCTTGTGATTTCTCATTTAGTTTGGAAACTCGTTTCTGAAAAAAATTTTCAAAAGTGGTTCAGAACACATCTAATGATTAGAAACTTCACTGGATTTATTTTTATCAGCCACACTCTGCAAACCTAAATCCACCTTCCTCTTCTCACATCATGACCTTTTGTTCTTCCAAACTGACTTTAAAATGAAATTCTTGCTTGACCCACATTGGTCTTTTCAACCCATTCACTCGCTGCAAATGAATGCAGTTTCTCTGATGGCTGCAACCAAAGCAGGCTTTCTGTCTGCCCTGAACCATGCTATAGGCAATGCAAACAGCAGTTACAGTAACACCATCCAGAAACCGAGATCAAAGACATCTAATTCAAACAATCAGAGCAATGAAATGTCCTGAGAATTCTACTTTCCCAAAAGAGCCAGCTGTACAGCAATATTTTATTTGTTAAAAATAGGCACTCTCCAGGC